TTGGCTCGAGACTTTGGTTGGATGGAACTGGACATCGAACTATATGGTCATGCTCCTCAGGTCTAGCATGGGAACGATTATTCTAAGTTATCGGACATTGAGAGTGAGGCAAATCGGCGATGGGTCGTCTGGTAATGTTTGAAAAAAAGTTATTTCTGCGATCTTATTGCTTATTTCAACGGAGAATCTCCTTAGGACCATTAGCTTTTGCTTCTCGGTTTTGCGCTTACTATGATTTCCTTGGTTGTCCTTTTCTTTTGTTTGAGTTGCATATTTTTTCATCAGTGTACATATTTGAAGACCTGGAACTGCACTTTTAGACGTTCCATTCGATACTTTCCCTGTATAAAAATTTTTGGTTTACATCTTTGGTATTAATTTAGTTTTTTCTTGGCCAAGATTATCGACTGCATTTTAATTTGTTACATGGTAAGGCTGAAAATTCTGGAAACTGAAAAACTCAAGCAATCAAGATGAATGAAAAGATTGATAGCCAGCAAGAGAGAAGAAATTGGGATTTTGTTGTTGCTTGTACGATAAGACGATATGAGTAGAAACGAAAATGCAAAGAGAACGATTTCGGTCCAAAAAATACGAGTATCGCTATGTATTTTTTGGTGAACCCGATGCGTTTGTTAGGTTTCAATATTCGCCCTAACGCATCATGCACTGCAATGGGAAAAATATTTGTCATCGTCATTTCATTTGGTCTGGTTCTGATACAATATTGAATAACAACCTTAACCAAATTAAGGTGTGAGTGAAATATATCGTTTAATATTAATATCTCCAATATGGAGAATTCATTTTGTTCGTTTTCCCCAAATAATCGAACAAGACTTGGGGTTGGTATTTTAAAATTAAAAAAAAAATGAAAGAAAAAGACATCCTAGTAACAATTATTAAATAGAAACACACTTGTTAAGTTGAATCAAGGTTCAAACATAAGTTTGAACTTCCAATCCTAAATTCAACCCCAAAAAAAAACAATGTCACAAGTACAACTAGTGGAAAAATACAATTTCCAAACAAACAAAAATTACCAAACTCCTGAATTCAATAATAATAATAATAATAATCTGATGCCTAAAACTTCAGAAACTCCTTTCAACATGGAAAGAGTTCATTGTTTTTTTCCCCCTCCCTTAGCCACTACATTTTGTTTCTCCCTCTTTTGGTAGAGTGTCTTATTAGCATGCACAACCTCCTCCTTGCTGTTCCATTTGAGACGAATTCGAAGTCGGTTTCAAATTCACATCAACCATATCCTCTTTATTAGTCGACGACAGTGTTTCCATTCCCGGTAACGCTGCTGCAATTTTCCTAAATAGGGGCTACAAAAGTAAACTTTACGTTTAAGATACTAAAATTCGAGAGTAAACTCGCAAACACGTGTTAGTTTATGTATTACTACGTGTGTGGTTGTAATAAATCTGAAATTTATCGGTACGTAGGAAACTGTAAAGAAGCTTATATATAGGGTAAATTACAACCATCCCCGAGGTATGGTCAAATTACGAAAACCCCCCTCCTGTTTGGGTAATTACAACCACCCATCAACTATAAATCTTCTTACACGTCCACCCTTGCAGTTTCAGATTTAGTGGAATCTTCGAGATTATATGGAATATTATCACTTTTGTACCCGTTTTATCCTATTCGAATTCCACATTTTGAAGCAAGATGATCATAATATGTGTTTTTTGACTTGTATATATCACATTGTGGTGTATCAGAAACTGTATTTTTACACAAATCGAGTACAAACTAAAGCACATTCCACAAAATCTAGATGATTATGTTGAATTTGACACCATAAGGGTGAAGGTGTAAGGAAAAAATCATAGTTGAGGGGTAAATGTAATTATCCAAACAAAAGGGGTTTTTTCGTAAATTGACCATACCTCAGGGGTTTGGTTGTAATTTACCCTTATATATATATGATGCACTCGTAACTCAAAATTAGATGTGTAGCAATTAGATGGAGGTAATATTATCTTACCTTGATATTGAAACCTGCTTTTGCACTAGTTTCTATGAACATTACACCGAATTCACGAGCCTTACCATCTCCTTCTTCGATTGAAACTTGCCTGCAGTCACAAGCACGGAATATATATATATCATCGGTAAAACAATCATTTTTACGAGAGAAAAAGAACAATCGTACAATCCATCCACCTTAATTTATTCCTCCCTCACCTTTTATCAACAAGATCAGTTTTGTTCCCTACAAGAACGATAATAACATCACTGCCTCGTTCGGTTCTGACTTCCTCGATCCACTTTGAAGTGTTCAAGAACGACTGCCGGTCTGAAAATATGGAAATATCACTAAATCGTGCGTATTTTTACCAAGGAAAAAAAATCACTAAATTAATCAGACAGAGATTTAAGGCTTCATAATGCAATAGGAAACTCTTTTAACGACCATTTTCGATATGCTAGTTTACTTACTGGCAACATCGTAAACAATGACTGCTACTGAAGAGTCTCTAATGTAGCTTGGTATAAGACTTCTGAACCTCTCTTGACCAGCAGTATCCCTATGAATTGTGATCATTAATTAGGAGTATTTTTTGGTCAAGAAATCATTTATAAATTTAGGATCCATTTTCCGATAATTCTAGTAATGTAATCACATTACAACTTCCTTTTTTTTTTTTGAATAAATAAATTTGTAATAATATTTCCGAAGGCGTATTATAATCGGAACTCAAAACCAAAACCAACAATATATCCTCACTAAAGAAATGAAACACCAGAAAAAAAAGTTTCGGTGAGTAATTATATGTTACCAGAGTTGCAAGCGAACTGTTCGATCTTCAAGGTACATAGTCTTTGACAAGAAATCGATACCTATGGTCGCCTGCATACCAAAGTACAATTAAAAAAAAAAATCTTAAATAATAAACAATTTATAAATTATTTTATTTATTGTTTGTATTGCAAAATATATCAAATACTTCAAATGTGGATCCTTCATTGCATCAGATAAGTACAATTTGGTTTCTCAACCAAAAATGAAAAGGCGAAAATGAAATGAAATCACCGAAAAAATCAGTCGAAAAGATCTTCTCATTCACGTCATAATCTACAAGTCAAAAAAACATGTCCAGAAGAAATCAAGCGTTCGAGAATTCTGAATGTGCACGTTTTGAGAAGACGACGAAATTATATTCAAATGTCATCTAATTCCGAACTTTTATTGAAAAAAAATATCAATTTTGATCGTCACTACAAACTTAATTATTAGGCTCCATCGTCGGCCGTGATCATTAGACTGACCAAAAAAAATGCCGGAAAATTGCACGGAGACTACAAATGTTATTCAGATACAGAAATTGGTAACAAAATTCAGCAAAATTAATTTGTAAAAGAAGAAACGACGGTGATATATATGTATATACATATATATATATATATATATATATATATAGAGAGAGAGAGAGAGAGAGAGAGAGAGAGAGAGAGAGAGAGAGAGAGAGAGAGAGAGAACCTGATAGGTGGTGTCGAATTTATCGTACATGAAACGGGTGATGATGCTGGTTTTACCGACGGACTGATCACCGAGAAAAACCAGTTTGTACTTCGCTAATGGTGACACCGCCATTAAAATTGGAGAAGAGTTCTTATTTGCAGGAGACGATTGATCGACGATGACGATAATGATCAGATCTGAATCTGTTGTTTGGAGAGAGAAGTCAGAGAAAATTAAGGAGAGAGAGAAATTGGGGGTGGGGTGAGAGGGGATTTGATCGCGAAATAACTGATTGAGTATTTATAGGAAATGTGAGAAATGAAAGCGTTTCAGTGATCATGCAATGCACTCTCACACATGGACTCCCTCAATTCTTATTATAAATGAAAACGCCAACCATTGTTGCCCTCTTAGCCATAAGCCCACTATACATTTTCTATGATTATATTTATTTTTTATTGTATACATATTTCACTAAAACATCGATAAATTAATAACTTCGTTAAATAATAATTTATTCTGGTCCCAACTCCATAAAACGTATTTATTTTTTAGTTCGATGATTTAATGTTTCGCTTAATTAATTTTATTTTATTTTGCCACAACACCCGTTCTCGGACGAGTTGGAAGAGGAATTCGTACTTCTCACACGGTTAATGAATTTTTAAAAATCAAACAGAGGACAATGTAAATGTAGAATGTTAGTTATGGAACACAATTGTTTTAAAATATGAAGTTTTTCATTCTTTTTCAAATTAATCCCATATTTTTTCACATGTTTACATATTTTCACAAATTTGCACTTATTTCACATTTAGTCCCCCATTTTCACAAAAACCACATTTGGTACCTCATGTTTTAACAATCAACACTTTTAATCATTTCTATCAATTTTCTATTAGTACTAACGGAATCAAGCATGTGCTGGTCATTGCCTTAACTGACGAACTAACGGTAAATTGACGGAAATGACCAATAATGTTAAACTATTGAAACATTAGGGACCAATGTGTTTTTTTTTAAACATTAGGGACCAAATGTGAAATCAATGCAAACTCAAGGGATGTAAACTGTAATTTTCCCTTAAAATCATAGCCATGGCCCACCTTCAAAGGAAAAAAGTAAGCTCCTTAAAATTGGAGCTATTTTCTCCTCTCATTGTAATGATAATTTGGTACACATCAATGCGAATGAATGATGTACAAAGTAAACCCAACTTTCCTAGCCTTTGAAATCAAGATTCCTTCTTCTTGACACGGTAGGGGTATTTTTGGTATATCGACGTGCTAGTGACGACCAACGGGAGAGCCACAAGGCAGTATGGGGAAGGTGCTTTCCCGTCGAAGATGTACTGAAGCAGAGCAGTGACTAGAAGAGCAGAAACAATCACAAATCCCTGCATATGTCGAATTTAATCAAATTCACGGCATAACAATGCAGACAGGGATAACTAGTTACAGACATTACGAAATATTTTCTTCCATATTTTTAGTCAATTTTTTCACCGTAACTCTAATTAAAAATTAAGAACTATTTTTGCACTACAGCGTCTACGATTTACAAAATGGTAACCGAAAGAGATGGTCAATTAAGGCAGTGTGTTAATTAGAAATTCAGGAACCCTAGTCGTGATACTCTGCAGTCTGAACTTTGAAGAGTTAAAATGGTTGCCGAAAAACTAGGGCTTAACTTTTGGCAATATAAATTCTACGGCAAGTACAAAAGTCATCTTCAGCTGACTTTCTTCGATTGGTTTTAAGTATAAAAAACTCACCTTTCTGACACCGCCAGCATAAGTTGTCACAAGACCAACAAGAATACCCCCAACAGCATTGAGTATAACAGGAATCTGAAACAACAAACGATTGAAATATATACATGTTACATATAATCAATAAAACATGTACACTCGGAAGTAATAATGATTAATTTAGCAGATTTCAACTATCGGTTGCAGATTTCGAATACCTTGTCATGATTGTTAACATAAAAGAAGCATCAGAAAGAATCGAGCAGCGATTTAAGAGAAGATATTGGGATTCAAATTATCAAGATTTACAAACCGTATATATATTAGTTATTGTTTATATGACGATAAACAATATTTACCCATGTCAAAGGAGTCCACCCATAAAAGAAGCCATGTTTTCTGATAGCTAAACCATCCGGAGACTTAGAAGCGCTAGCCAGTAAGCAAAGGCTCCCGATTATTGACATCTCCACAGTCATCAAGTAAGACGCATGTTTCTTAACCTGTGTTAAAAAATGACGCAAATCGAAAAAGCAACGTGATGAGATAATACACAAGACTTTCAAATCAGATGACAAACAAGAAGGAAATATTTTGCTTACTTGAGAAGCCCACTGACACAATGCAGAGGCCAGACCAGAAAGTACAGAAGCAACCAGGACAGGTACAATCCCATAGAATAAAATTTCATCGGGATTATGAGAAGCAGATGCTTTACTGGATCCTTCACCGATGCTCAGAAGGGAAGCTGCGATTATCAGCAAGAACAGAGCCCCAATCTGTTGAATAGACTGCTTCTGCCTGTCAATGGTAACAAAATAAGAAAACGAATAATTTTGAGGATTCTAATTACTAAAAAAATTAACTTGAAAATTACGAAGCAAGCTTCTCGATCTTGGCCTATGAAATGATGCTCTGTTGCGTAAAAGTTAGACACAAATATCAAATATTAAAAAATAACACCATAGGAAAGGCTCGAAATTGGATCTTGATTGTAAAGGGGATGCAATTTAAGTTGTTGTTTCATCCTGCAGCAACTATAATTTTAATTAATGATGAGAATGTTGGTATTCCTCATCTAGAAACTTCCATATTACCAACAATATGATTATCATGCGGCAACAAATTACCGACAAGCCCAGTTTGTAGATGCACAATTAGTTCAGATGAGGAAGTACCTTAATATGATATAAGTAAACAATGCTGTGAAAAAGAGTTTTGTCTGATTCAGCATCGAGAATGTGAGAGAATCAAGATTTTTATATGAGATCTGCAATAAGCTATTTTGCAGTGCATAGATGGCTGCAGGCAGTCCTGATGCGGTCAAAGAGCCAACCAAAGTCCAATTTTTAAATAGCTTTTTCAAAGTTCCTTCTTTTGCTAAGAGCACCAGAGCACAAACTACCTGTCATATTTCCAAACGCGAGTAAAATTTATATGAACCAAAATCTTAAAAAGGAGCAGGGGAGAAGGTAAAGCAAAAGAGTTACCTTTACAACCTCGCATGCTAAAACAGATGAGGTCACGATAACTTCACGGCTGCATCAAGAAGAAATATGAAGGTTAGAGTCAGCAAAAAGAAAATATTGAACATATGAAGTTTATGCAGGCAAATAAAGTTTTCGCTTACTGATTTTTTTAAACTTCAAGTGCAAATTACTAGTGAAAAACATAGGACAAGTCTCATAAAACAACAATGCATAAAAACTTGAACGCCCTGCCTAAACAAATGGAGAACCAAATTGACACTAAAACAGGATCTAGGCTCTTAGTTGCATGAGCTTGGCCGCCTGTAAATCTGTAAATTATTATTACAAGTAACAACGGGATAACAACGATCACTTTATAGATTTAACTTTACTATTGATATAATCTGAGCTAGGTGTCAGCTGAAACTACACATAACATCAAACAAACATTTTCTCATATTCGGAAACACAGTCAAGATTCTTAGCCATGTCCGAATCTCACTAACGACTAATTAAACTTATTAATAGTTTTTTTCATATTAACATTAACTAAAACCATGTTTTATAGGACTGCCTACGTATGACACGATTTCCAAATCTTACAATCCGAAAAGTTGGAACTCCATGGTTCCATTCATTCTATGCAAGCTCAATATCTGCAATTTACGGGTAACCAAAGAAAATAATAATTTACATTCCTCTGAAATGTTGACTTGGTGAAGGAGGGTCCCTTTATGGTCTATATACTAGCATAAGATAGCCATTAGTTGACGGCCTTGTGCTCAGTGTGCTAACAGTCAAATATAAACAGAACTTGTTGGGGTTAGAAATTGCTATAAATCAACTCAAAAACCCTAGGAATTCTTTCATAGCGACAACTTCCAAGCCCGATTTCCATGGAATTTTTTTTTTAGAATTTTCCAAAAGATCAAATTCAAAGATGACAAATCAACAACTAATATGAAGAAGGGGTAAATTGAACACTAATCTTGCTCTCACAACAACAAAAAAAAAACTGCTTTATCCGGAAACGGAACTGCCTCCAGATTGCAATAACTTACGACTCCTCGGACATAATTTCTGTTTCAATGTCATTCATTTCCTCACTAATAGCACTATTTTCTCGATGTCTACATCAAATAATTCTTCTCTAAAAATCATATATCACTAGAAGAAATTATCAAACCGAAACTCCAATTAGAGTAAACACGGCATCTTATTATCAACTACAGACAGTTTTCGAAGTTCAAAACCCTAAATCATGAAGCAAAAACAATGCTGATCGCGAATTTCAATAGTGTTTAACCATAATCAGTGACAAATGAGGTGAAAATAATGAATACAGAATAACGACGGCGAAAATTGAAGAAAACCTGGTGAAACGTTTGGAGATGAGAGGCTGAGCACCGTACTGCAACGTCAGTAGCAATGATAACAGCCACACCTTTGTACTTGTATTCCGGTTCGAGTTAATCGGGTCGCGTTTCGGGCCTTCGGGATTCGAGACCGCCATTGATTACGGCGATCGGAAATTCGAAGCCTTTATTCGGAAATAAGAAGAAGAATGTGTTTTGTTGCCGCTGCTCAAATTTGGAGCAAAGTGTTTGGAACATTGCTCCATGGGGAAGAAAAGTATGCAGAAAAGGATGGTCTTTTTTCTCTTTTCTCGTTTTCCATTTTTGCCCTTTTGGTTCAAACGGCGTCGTACTGTGAGGAATATTATTGAGGTTTCTTAAATTTAATTCTTCTTGCAAAAATCTTTTTAATTTCAATTTATAATATTTCTATTGCCAAATCTCATTAATGATCATTATATTTTAATATTTAGTCTAACTTTAATGTTTCGTGTTTCAATTTCATTTTCATCATCCATCTCATTATAGTCAAGTTGGTGTATAATTTTGTTAAATTTAATCATGAGGCTTACATATATTAATTTTATCGGTTATCGGCAACGACAACTACTCCAAGTCAGATTCGGAATACCGTTTACACCACTGATCCGATCAGCTTGAGCCGAAGCCTGATCGTCGTTGTCGAGATGTGGCGACCTATAATCCAGAAAAGACAATGCAAACTTGACGGAATTGAACACTCGTGACATGTACGATGGAGGGGTGAAAATGCATGGGATTGGGCCTGAGGAAGCGGCTACAGACATGAAACGAGCGGTGGTGTGGCTAGATGCGAGGGGCAGAGTTGTTGTTTGGAGGGAAGAGGATAGAAAATGAATATGTGTTAATAATTTGAAGGAAAAAGAAGAGGAGCGATCGAAGTATTAGAGAAAAAATGAATCAATCGCGACCGTGGGATATAAGGTTTAGTGGATGATATAATTGTATTATTATAATTTGATATTAAATATATTTTTTTATCTCCTCTAATCGTAAATGTCATATGAGAGGGATTTAGCAATTTTTCCTTGAAGTGAAAGAACAAAATACACTTCATCCCCTGTAATTTCTCATTTTCGCAAATTTTCCCCTAAAAATTCAGAAAATGAATAACCCGCCCTTGAATTATTGTTTTGGTTACACTTTGTCCCCAAAGCGAATTTTCGTTGGGCATCGTGCAACAATAATAACATTTTAAAAGAGCAACGTGCAGAAAAATAATGTTTTGAATGAGCAACATGCAACAAAAATAACATTTAAAGAGGCAACGTGCAACAAAAACTCTCAATTCCGGTGAATAATCCATCGGAGTTTTGCTATCGGAACGATGTGCAACAAGAATAGTATTTTAAAGAGGGGCATTCACTTTTTAAAATTTTGAGGGAGTAAAGTGCAAAAATTAGAAATTTACAGGGGTGACGTGCAATTTCCTGTAAAGTGAAATATCAAATATAGCATGAAATTAATTAGGAATAAAACATGCAAATTTCTCCCAAAAATAAGAAATCTATATAATATATAAATTGAAACCCTCATAGCCTAGAATTTCGACATTTGTCATCCACCTAGGCGTCCATGTAGACATCCCAGTCATTGCCCATGTGTCATTACATATACCATAAATAACTTCACTTTCAAAATCGGATTTGATTGCAAGAATCGGAATAAATCAAACATTATTTAGTAAATCGGAATCAATGCATATTATTTACGGTAGTGATATTAAATTGTGGATATTTATTCGAAATTATGGAAGTTAATTATGGAATTAATAGTTTTAAATTAATACGGATTTAATTATGTCTTAATTAATTGTATATTATTATAAATTTAATACCTAAATTACGGCATACATTACGTTAAGAAATTAATTCCAATAAGTGTATACTAAGAAATTAAGGAATTCTTATTATAATTAAGGACAATTATTAGTTATTACCACTCTATTAATAGAGATATCTTTATAGTACGTCAATTGCGTAATAAAAATATTTTTATATTTAATAAAGAAATATTATTAATATTTTATTTTATTCCAATTAGAAAATCTTATTTTTTATTAAAAGAAAAATTATATAGGTTATTATGGTAATGATTAATTTTGTCATTTTTTATGACAATTATATATTTCCTTAATATTATATAGGTTATTATAGTAATAATTAATTTTGTCATCTAATACCAATTAAAATCCGTAATATATATGTAATTATATATTATAATTTGTAAACATCACACTATTTTAGTAACAATATTTTCCTCAATCCATAATATATTCAATTATTATTCTTATATTCGAAAATGAAATAATTTTAATTGTATCAATTTAATGCATATAACTGATTTCCTTAAATATGTATACTATTTACCTTTTATTACATAAAACCTAAGTATAAATACCTCACTCCACATCCATTATTTCTCACTCATATAACAAAGCACACGGCAAGAAAAAATGTTGTATACCCTAATTCCATTCTTTCATTATTTTGTTAATATTCGATTAGTTTATACCGTAATTTTCGATTTTTTATACCCTATATATATATATATATATATATATATATATATTGTATGGTTTTCCGTTTAATAGTTACCAATTTGGACTGTGAAAATTGCAACAAAAGTTGGACGTCGCCCGAAAAAACGTAAGTGCATATTTAACTAAGTTAACAAGTCGATTTGTTTATTCATAAATTATTTTTTAATACATGTTTTTTACATTGTTTGTTATTAGTACATTAAGCAATTTTAATTCAGTTACAAAATCGAGATGATCGTGATGGATGACACAAATGCTGCATCATGTATCGCCTTTGGCAAACAAGCGGAAAAATTAGTTAATGTTGATGCCGGAGCTTTAATCTGTATCATGGAAGAAAGAGTAAGTAATTAAATCTATCTAAAAAATTATAACACATTTTTACATGTCTATTAATGATATATATAAAGAATCCCAAATATATATTCTTATGATGTGTATTACTTTTTCGGCCCCATTATTTAGGGTGAAGATCCTAATGAATATCCTGCTGAACTCGATGGATTGATTGATAAGAAGTTTTTGTTCAAAGTCAATGTCAAGCACAATAACATTGATGACCCTGAAAATTCTACTTATAGTATTCTAACAGTCTGCAAATGATTCATTCATCAAAAAATACCAGTTGGATGAGGTATTAAATTTAATATTGTTTTCTCCAACATATTTTTAATTTCTTATATCCTATTAAAATATATTTTCAATTTTAATGTGTATATGCAGCAAGTTAATACTACTTCACCACATGCAAGTGTCGATGATAGTTCTTCGGTCTGTATGTTGTCATCAAAGGTTGGTAGTCTTCCAATTTACTAAAACATTAGTATTAATTAATTACAGTTCGTTCAATGGTATTTTATTAATGGATTATGTAACATTTCAATATAGGAAAACGAGTCCTTAACTGTTTCGAAGGATTCAGTTTTCGATTCCTCGGCAGTTGAAATCACTCCAATAAAGAGAAGTTTGGATTTCAGTCTTGATTCGCAAGAGGATGAGAATACCCCAATGCATTCGACCAATCTTCTCTTGAAGAAGATCAAACAAGAAAAAGTGGAATAACAAACTTGGTTTTGAACATTACTTATTGTTTCCTTTGACATACTTTTTTTTCGGTGGAACTTAGTTCGTGGTTTTATTCGCTAAGACCTTTTACTTTTTGTTTTTTTGGGTATTTTGCACTATTTATTTATTTGAATTAATATTTAATATTATAATCTATAATTCTATTTTTAAGATTTCTTTTATATGATTCGTAGAATGTTTTTATCTCAAATTATTAATATGTCTTTTACTCCATTTAATCCGTTAAAATACAAGTGCTATCTATCTCTCCTCTTTAAATTTCCCCTTTTTTTTTTACCTACTTTTATATGTTGTTTATATAAAAAGTTCTATTAAAATAATAAACACTATTATATTCTAAATAGTATAAAATAATATTTTTTTAATTGGATAATAATGTTAAACAATTAATCAAAAGAATTGCTCGAAACAAATAATTTAAGAGAAAACAACCAAACAAAATAGCCTACATTTAGTTAAATAAGTTACTAAAACAAAACTAAAACAATATTTTTATTTATTTATTTAACCGAATTCAGTTTTATTTACTGCTACTAAAAATTTAATGGCAAATATATGTATTACCATTAATTTAATAACAAAATTGAATTAAAGCAAAAATAATAAAAATAAATTAAAACCAAAATAATAAAAAAAAATAATAGCAAAATTAAACCGGAAAAGGAGTCCGAATTGAAATTTAATAACAACAGTAAATTAAGTATATCTTAATACTTAAATCCTAAATTTATTATCCTAAATAAAAATCAGCAATAAAAAATAGTTACATATTATAAAGTACGTTATTAGGAATTCTAATGTGGTCTGACTACTGTCTACATTAAGAATAGTAAATTAATCATGGTTTAGTGTTAATGGAACAAACGTAAATAATGGATATAGTAACAATGTGAAATCTATTTTAAAATTTATGATGAATACTTCTAATTTAGGAGTATTAAATCTTTTAAAAATGGGTTCCACCAAAAATCTAATTTAGGAATATATTTACTCCTAATATATTTTTATAAATAAGATATATTATTAACTAATTCATTTCTTGCCTTACATATCTTGCAAATTATATATTTAGTTATTATTACAATTCACTAATATGGGAACATGCCAATTAATTAGATCTTAATAAATCATTCTATATTAGTCGTAATATTTGAAGATTTTATGGTCTTAAATAGATTTAATAACAATATTGCAATTATATAAATACACTACATCATTTTGTTGTATCACATTGTAATCTTATTTTTTACGAATATACAATCAAATTATGAAAGAAAACGTTCCCCCATGAGATGTTTTTGACCAGAACAACATTCATGACACAAAAGCTGCAAGGACAAATCGCATAAATTATATTCGAAACAAGAGAACATTAACACCGGCGAAAGGTAACAAATATTTTGTTTTTTGCAAATAAATTCGTGAAAATTGTTTCTTTATGGTGTATATTCACAAGTATTCATTTTACTAAACATGTTATTAACATTTCACTCTAATATGGGTCTTACTTGATAGATAAATCAAATAATGAGACCATGAAGGAGTTTCAATCGATCAATGGCTGCGTAAATGGAAATAAAACTGTGGGATTGTGCTCATCTAATTTTATGAAAACACCAACCACAACAAACAGTTTAATTTTATCTGCTATGACAAATGGTTAGTATCATTTTTTTTATTTTCTGTATTTTCTATTTTTGTTAATTTGTATTTATATATTGTCACGATGTGTCATTTGTTATACAATAATATATTTACCATTGGATGTAATAATACTTTTAATTTATTCATACAGATGATGGATACACCCATAACACGCAAACAAATAGAAATGACAAGGGAAAGAAGCCAATGGACCCCTCAGGTCAATTAAATTATGCATTTATATGTTCGGTTCACAAAAATGCCTGCTTCAAATATCATTTAACAATGTCCAATTAATAAAAGTTAGTATTGGGCATCCTTATTATATATATTCCGTTAATATACATATGAATTTTCGGAAACAAATGCAGGTTCTTGCGGAATTTCAATCGATAAATCAAACTTTTATAACACAGAGGAGTTTCGATCCAGGCAGAGAGCTGGAATTCGATTCAAAGATCTTGAATTATATACACCAAATAAACCGACATCATTAACTACACCCACAAATTTAATTCTATCTGATATTACAAATGATAATGATTAATTATTATATTCGTAGTTTACATACATTTCATGTTACTTAATTCCCCTTACATTTTTTAATATGAGTATATCTGTGTTAAATGAATTTAAATTATTACTATGATGTGTTTCAGTAAGTAGAACTGAAAGAAACAATGGAAGAGTTGTGAAGGATGTCGCAACAACAGGTACAAACAACATTACCATTTGTAATGACGAAACTCAATATATATATATATATATATATATATATATTATTTCACCTATAATGAAATAAGATTTATCTTTTGTTTACACATATGTGGCGTAATTTAATATATAAATTATAATGAAGAATTACATTTTTTTATTATGTGAACAGATTTGGAGTAGACTGTCAGCAAAAAGAGAGTTGCCCAGTATAAAGGAAAAACTCGAACTCTAAATATTAAAAGTATGTCAAGTACAGATACAAACGACAAAAAAAGCTATAAGAGAAATCGTGAGGTGACATATAACAATGTTGCAGCAAATTGTGAAGGTTTGCGCTCTATTGATTAATTATCATCATTAGAAGAATTATTCAACATTTTCTTACGGATGTCTTTAATAATATTTCCAACAGATACTAATTCGTACGAGATAGATGGGTTACATAACATTGGCAGTGTGCAAAATATTTCTGCTAATACATACTACGAAACCAACAAAATGTACATTTCGTAATATGTATGAAACACAACATTTATACAATTATATAACACATTTGTATTTAATATGTTACCATATCCAACATTGTAAAAGTATAATATTTTTTTATTCATTGAATAATTTACAGTTCTTCGTTTCGTACCGGAAAGAGGATATCGAAGAGTCAAAAAACCATACATTCTGTTGCTCGTGGCTTGGATATGGATTCAAAACCTGTCTTGGTCGATGAAGATTTACAGACTATACAGGAAATTACTTCGGACATTGGAGGTATGTGTTATAATTTCGATCATATTTATCACGTAAAATTCGTCTTGAATAAATTGTTCATAATAATCAATTGATATCATTATTTTTTGTTTTATTTAAATAGAATCAGAATATGTATTAAATGACGAAACATTCACTGATTCCGACGACGATGATGGTAAGTACTCCAATATTAATTAAGTATGATAAAATGTCGTTTTCATCGTAATAACAGATGTCTTTTTCCTACGCAGAATACGATGATCTTGGTGATCAGCCATACGAATGTCAATCATGTGGCGCAATGATGTGTTACGGGGAAAGGATCGATAAGCAAAAAGGTACATCAAATCCTAAGTTTTCAATGTGCTGTAATGGAGAAAAAGTCGAATTGCCCAATTTAATAGAAGCACCAGATCCCCTAAAGATTCTCATGTTTGGTACCGATCGAAGAAGCAAGCATTTCCAAGAACACATACGGTCGTATAATATGATGTTCTCATTCACATCTTTTGGAGGAAAGATACAGACAACGATAAACAGAGGATCCGGTCCGTACACGTTTCTACTCCATGGACAAAACTACCATTTAATGGGTAGTTTGTTGCCAGATGAAGGATCGCGTCCCAAGTTTGCTCAGCTTTATATATTTGACACGGAGAATGAAGTAAAGAATCGAATGGATGCAGTCAGGTATAAAGCTCTTCAGTTATATGTTATTTTGTTTTAAATTACAAGGAATTTACTTTATGTTTCATTTTGTCGTTCCAGATCCAAGAACAGTTCCAGCGAACTGGATCATGAGATAAGGATATGGTCGACAACTCAAATATGCTTGCTCAGTCTTACAGAGCTGCCCGGGACAGGCTCTCACAGACAGGAATGGAAGATGTCAAATTGAGACTAATAAAGAAACGGAGTACGGATGGACGTACTTACAATCTGCCGAACTCCAGTGAAATCGCGGGACTAATTGTTGGTGATTTTGACACCCAGGGGGGGTGTTAGAGACATAGTTGTCGAGACACGGTCGAAAAAACTCCAGCGAATCAGTGAGTTGCACCCTTTATATCTTCCACTGCAGTATCCGCTAATATTTCCTTACGGCGAGGATGGTTATAGGGATGATATACCACTGAGGGAAACATCAGTGAGTGGTACACGTATACGCAAGAAGTTAACAGTGCGGCAGTACTTTGCGTATAAGATCTAAAAAAGATTTGGCGACAGCGCGGTTCTGTTGCACTCAAAAAAATTGTGCCAGCAATTCATGGTCGACGCATTTTCAATGGTTGAATCGGAAAGACTGAAATTTATAAGATTTAACCAGAATAAGTTAAGAGTTGACATGTACAAGGGTATCGAAGAAAGTATTTTGAAGGGAGATACGGATGCTAGATCCATTGGCACGAGGGTTATTCTACCAGGCCGTTTTACCCAAGGTCCAAGATACATGTTTAACAACTTCGTCGATGCTCTTCAAATATGCAACTGGATTGGATTTCCATCGTTGTTCATCACTATTACCTGCAATCCACAGTGGCCGGAAATTCAAAGGGCGTTGAGCGGTACTAATTTGAGACCTGAAGACCATCCCGATATTCTTGCTCGAGTTTTTAAGATGAAGCTCGACAGTCTGATGTCAGATTTGAAAAAGGGCAAAATATTTGGTCGCATTAGAGCATGTAAGTATCAATTTATAAGATAAAAGTATAACATAATATATATTTTATACATTGTCTACTCTTATAATATTATAAATATTTTATTACGTCAAACATTGAAAATTTCTGTACATTAATTCTAACCAAATACGTTTAAATTGTAAAATGTTCAGATGTCTGCACAATTGAGTTTCAGAAGCGCGGTCTCCCGCATGCGCACATATTAATTTGGCTTCACAATGAAGACAAACCGAAGACATCAAAAGACATAGATAAAATCATATGTGCCGAAATCCCAGATAAGGTAACAGACCGAAAGATGTACGATTTGGTTGAGAAGTATATGATTCACGGTCCGTGCGGTCTGGCCAATCAAAACTCTCCATGCATGAAGGACGGGATTTGCACGAAGCGATTTCCAAAGAGTTTTGTCAACCGTACTGAGGCCGATGCAGATGGTTATCCGGTGTACAGAAGAAGAGAAAATGGGAGGACCGTGGTTAAGAAGAAAACATATCTCGACAATGGTTTCGTCGTGCCTTATAACCGTGCTCTACTGAAAAAGTACAGAGCACACATTAATATCGAGTTGTGCAACCAGAATAAGTCGATAAAGTATTTATTCAAGTACGTCAACAAAGGACACGATCGGGTCACGGCGGCATTTTATCAATAAAATAATCCAGGTGCAACTCCTGAAATTCGCGATCAAATATGTACTACGACTGCAGATATCTTTCGGCATGCGAGGCTGCTTGGAGGTTATTTAGCTTTGACATTCACTTTAGAGAACCACCAGTGATTAGGTTAAGCTTTCATCTTCCGGACAGTCAGTCAGTTGTGTTTACAGATAATGACTCATTAGTTGATGTGCTGAACAAACCGACTGCGAAGCAAACGATGTTCATTGCTTGGTTCCAAGCGAATAAGTTGTACCTTGAAGCTAGAAATTTGAGGTATGTAGAGTTTCCACATAAATTTGTCTATAAGGTAAAAGCTCGCTGTTGGATGCCGAGAAAGATAGGATTCTCGATCAGAAGGGTTACCAATGTACCGCCGGGCAGGGGTGAAGACTATTACTTGAGACTGTTGTTGAACTTTCAAAGAGGTTGCACGTGTTACGATGATCTTAGAAAAGACGAGGATCACGTCTACACAACTTTCAAAGATGCGTGTTTTGCGCTTGGACTACTAGATGACGACAAGGAGTACATAGCTGGCATAAAGGAGGCAAACGAGCGGGCCAGTGGTGACTATGTGAGACGATTATTCGTCGTACTTTTGGTTGCAAATAATATGAGCAGACCGGAACATGTGTGGGAGTGTTGCTGGAAAGAATTCGCCGAGAATATTGCGTACAGACTGCAACAACATCGCACCAATTCAGGTATGAGAATACATCTTACGTTTTTACACCGTTTACTACACATGTTTGAATTAAAACTATATATTTTTATAATCGTCACATTATGTTAATTTTTCATATAATATTATATTGAAGGTCCACATGTGTCAGATGATACTCAGAGAAACTACGCTTTAATCGAAATAGAAAATATATTGCAAAGCAACAGCAAAAGCCTAAGTAACTTTCCCCCAATGCCGATTCCAATTCGGTCAATGACGAACGACATGGTAAATAGATTAGTTCTCGACGAGTTGGACTATGACGTTGATGCTATGCGTGAAGAACTTAAGAAGTACCTTTCATCCATTACTGATGAGCAGAAAAAAGTGTTCGATGATATCATGGATGCTGTTGCAAATGACAGAGGTGGACTGTTCTTTCTTTATGGGCATGGAGGAACGGGAAAGACTTTCATATGGAAAACTCTATCGGCTGCGATCCGTTCAAAAGGAGAAATAGTTATAAATGTTGATTCCAGTGGTATTGTTTCGCTTCTACTTCCAGGTGGCAGAACTACTCATTCCAGATTTGGACGGCCGATAATTGTACACGAGAGCTCCACATGCAGCATCAAACAACAGAGCCCACAAGCAGAATTGTTGTCTAGAGCAAAGCTAATCATATGGGACGAGGCACCGATGATGCACATGTACTGTTTTGAAGCACTCGACAAAACAATGAAATCTATACTTGATTCAGATATGCCATTCGGAGGCAAGGTTGTAGTGCTTGGAGGGGACTTTCGGCAAATTCTGCCAGTTGTGTTGAAAGCGTCGAGACAAGACATTGTTCATGCGACAATCAATTCATCACCGTTGTGGAGACAATGCAAGGTTATGAAGTTAAACAAGAACATGAGACTTGAGTCGTCCTCCTCTTCCGTCAATGCAGATGAAATAAGAGAATTTGCGGACTGGATATTGAGAATCGGCAATGGCGATGCTGGCGAGATAAATGACGGTGATGCCACAATTGAAATTCCCGATGACATGCTGATTCGGAATTCTGCAGATCCCTTTTTGGATCTTATAGAGTTTGTCTATCCCGATCTGGTGACCAACCTTTTCACTCCCGAGTATTTCGAAGGCAGAGCAATCCTTGCACCCACTAACGAAAGTGTCGGTTTTGTGAACGATCATTTTTTGTCGATCATAACTGGAGAGGAGAAGGTCTATTTCAGCTCAGATAGTATGTACAAGGAGGAGTTGTTGTCGGATGTCAACGCAGAAATATACTCACAGGAGTTTCTCAACACCATATCATGTTCCGGAATTCCACCGCATAAGTTGACATTGAAAAGAGGTGTTCCCGTTATGCTCATCAGAAATATCGATCAGGCCAGATGATTGTGCAATGGAACAAGGCTTCAAATTATTAATATGGGAAAACACGTTCTCAACTGCAGGATCATGTCCGGTAAACATGTTGGTGATATGGTGTTCATTCCTAGAATGACTTTGGTACCGTCCAACTCTGCATTGCCTATTAAATTCCAGCGACGTCAGTTTCCGCTGATGGTATCATTCGCAATGGCAATAAATAAAAGTCAAGGACAAACTCTTTCTCATGTGGGCCTTTACTTGCCGATACCAGTTTTCAGTCACGGACAACTCTATGTCGCACTCTCGAGGGTTAAGAGTCGAAGTGGCATAAAGATTTTGATTAACTCGGAATCTGGTGATACGACCAACGTTACAAATAATGTAGTATACAAGGAAGTTTTTCAGCGTATATGAAGGTAAGTATTAAAAAATTACAATATTTATTGACGACCTTTATTATCTATTATTTTTATGTTTTGTTATTCCTCATTCGTAGGTTTATTTTAATTGTACTAGGAACTTGCTATGGACTCCGCTCGCTATATTTCATGAAGGTAATCTTTTTAAAATGATTTTATGCAATTAAACAGTTATATTTGTATTGTTTTGGTAACAATTTACATATTTCGTGTAACCATTTTACAACATATGCAGGTCGGTTGCATTGTATCGGATTTGTTGCATGGGTTTAGGGCGGTTGGCATCAAACAATTCAAGTTTTCAACGTTCATGTCATTATAGTTGTACAAGTTTGGGACCAACTATATATTCGCTCTTTTGTATATGGAAATTAAAACCTTCGATGTTTAGTTTTTTTTACTCATATCAACTTATTTTGAACTTACACCATACAAATTATTTTTATTTTTGAATATGTTCTACTTCTTTCTTTTACTTTTTAACAATTAATATCACTATTTTGAGAACCATTTTTATTATTCGTTATAAATTTTACGATGAATACCCCGTGCATCGCACGGGTGTATTACTAGTGATAAAGAAAAAAGAACCCAAACTTTGTGTCCCACAAACCATGAATCTTTTAACTATAATTACTACTCTACTTAAACCCTAATTAAATCAAAGCAGAATCTTTCACAAATCAACGGTCGTGATTCTCTCGAAATCATTGTCCATAATTACCTCACTTGCTTTTCAGCAGCCATTTTGTCTCTCCATATCTCTATCTTTGCGCCTCTTTTTCAGAAAGCACAAAAAACACTGAATAAATAGCATATGTAGTATATACACAGTCGTGTGTATATATACATAGAGAGAGAAAGAGGAGAAGGAGACTGCAACACACGCGCACAACTATGTGTGGGATTCTAGCCGTGCTTGGCATCGCCGACCACTCTCAGGCGAAACGATCCAGGATTATTGAACTTTCGAGAAGGTGTCTCCATTTTTTCCTGATTGTTTCTCTCGCGTGGCTCAGATTCTTTTGCATCTGCGCATTTCGTCTGGGGCAATTCGTTTTCCTCTATGTCGATCATGCGAAGGTGTGTGTGTGTGAAGGGAAAAGGGTAAGTTCCATGTTTTAATCTTCATCTCGTTGAATTGGGGCTGGGTTTTTAAAGGGGTTTTAAAAACATGGGTTAAAAATCATTTTGGTTCATTAATCCAAAAAAGTTTTTCTTTTTTTTTTCTTTTTCTTTAAAAAAAAAGGGGAGATAAAGCTTTTTTTTAAAAGAATGGAAAAGGGGTTTTTAGGAAACCCTTTTGAGGAGGGGGGGAAGCCATTTTTGCTTAAGGTTGGAAGTTTTCCCTTGAAAGGAGGTTTTCATTTTGGTTTTTTTTTTTTTTCCATTTGTCCCCCGGAATTGGAAAAAGGAAAAAGCCCTTTTGGGGGCATAAAAAATTTTTAGGGGTTTTTTACCCATTTTTTTTTGGGGGTTTTTTGCAGCACTTTTTGTACAGACAGAAAGAACATTTCAGGGAGGGATTGGGATACAGTTGGATGGAGGGTTTAAAAGTTCTTGTTAACCAAAGGGTGGACCCCCCCCCCCCCCCCCCCCCCCCTCTCTGTGTGTGTGTGTGTATATATATATAATTGTGAATCATTCGATTAACTTTTCATTAATTCCGGATATATCTTTTCGATGATGTAATTATTTCGATATATTCGTTTCTAAGGAAACAGGTCAGAGAGGCAATGTTAGCAAATGCAAGTTTTGTTTACCCTGAGAACACTCCAACAACTAAAGAGGGGTACTACTATCGGTCTATCTTCGAGCGATTCTTTCCCAAGGTAAGTTATTGCATAAAATTACGTAACGAGAGTTTGACTTTGGACTAAGTATCCTCATATATTCTTAACACGAACTTAGGAACATAAACTACGAAGCTTGATTGTATTAGTTGTTAAGACTAATTATAATTCCCAAACAAGACTTTAGTATTCGATTTGGAACTCACTTGACGTATTTTAAATTTACTCTTTTATTTCGAAAACAGAATGCAGCAAGATCGACTGTGCCAGGTGGCCCAAGTGTGGCATGCAGTACAGCAAAAGCTGTGGAATGGGATGCAGCATGGTCCAAGAATCTAGATCCTTCCGGAAGAGCTGCCCTAGGCGTCCACGTGGCTGCATACGATGACGAGGCAAGTGAAGCTACTGCGATAAATGGCTCCCCCACAAAGGAGTAGAAAAGTTGTTTGAACAATTGTTTTATTATTATTATCGAGGATTCTGGATTTATTTCTCGTGTTAGCACAATTTATCAAGCGATGGACATCTTTTTTTTTTTTTTTTTAGAGTACAGGGGTTCGACTATTTATCGAAGTTTTTTCTTGTTATAAATTAATGCTTTTTAAATTAATTGAAATGATAATTATATTAGACATCTGATTATAATAAGGGGGGAAAAGGACTAATTTTAATAGGGGGTTGGACAGTTGGTAGATCTTAATCTCTTAAGTCAATGCTATTAGTCTTGAGATTTCAAATATTTTATAGTCTCCTAGATGCTATAGCTGATGGAATATACTGGTTTATAGGGTCTATTAGATATAACCCCCTTAAACATTCAAATAATAGGGGTAGACCCAAATTTAAATTTGCCATTTTGATAAAAGCCCAAGCTTTTCGTAATTACATAATTACCCTCAATCAAATCCCACAAATTCCGTTACTTTACCTTTTTAAAATTAATAGACTATCTCATATCTTTTAATAGACTATCTCATGTATCTAATTCGACTATGGGTTTAATTAATTGACTATTGGAAAAATAATAATATATATGGAAACTGAATAATATGTTTGTTTGAAATACTAATCAATTAGGGTAATTTTCCTTATTATATGAAAACGATTAGGGTAAATAATAATATATATGAAAAAATAATAATATATATGGAAACTGAATAATATGTTTGTTATACTAATCAATTAAGGTAATTTTCCTTATATCATGTAATAGACTATCTTATTGATCTAATTCGACTATGGATCTCGTTAATAGAGTATGGATCCCGTATTATTCAACCACATAGTATATTAATAATTTCAATATAGTACATTAATCTGCTGTGATAGTATATTACGGTTATAGTATTGATATGAAATTGTGTTACAAACAATATACCACTGAAATGACAAGAACATTGAGAACAACACCAACGTAAAGTATTCCACATAACCAATAAAATAGTACATTAATAATCTCATAATTTCAATCTAGGGTTTTGATAAAATACATAAAACACATCATAACACAATCAAACCAATACGTCGAGTTAAGAAACTCTAGTACATTAATAATCTCATAATAGTATAATAAAATGATAATGGTAGTATCATACGGTATTCATAATAGTATACTACTGTATTACAACGGTTTAACACTTAACCGAAGTTACCGAGCCATTACATCGTAAACACCTCTTTATAGCAACCAACCCACCGTACGAAATTCGCCATCGAAAAAACCTAAAATCATGAAACAAAATTAAAAATGCAGAATACTAAAAAATAATTAAATAGACTGCAAATACATTTGAATGATAATACATTAATATCATCAAAAATAAACTTAAAATGCAAAATTCATACGCTAAATTAAAAAAGACTACGAACTATATTTTAATGTACTACCCAGCACACTTAAATCGGCTGTTATAAACAAATAAACCAACTATCGACCGGGATAAAAACATGAACTCGACCAAAGCGGACAATTATTCCGATTATTGCATAAACCAACTACGAAGCTCATATAAAACAACTCTGGTCCGATCTGCGTGAACCATCCTCTTCTAACTCTGTCAATCCTCTTCCAAACAAACATCATCGGCAAAAAAAAAAAACGATATATATATGACGGAATAATTTTGTTAAAAAACGTTCTACTTAATAGAATCAAGTATCAACACAACTCTTAAAAATTTCTAACCACCGTACAAGACAATCATGGACATTGAGCAAAAAATAAAAACGAATAACGCATTCATACCCGCTTAACAACGTCCAACAACAAACGCTCAAAAATCGATCCTATTTCCACGACGGTGCAGAAATCTTCAATGACGATAAAACCCGCTGGAACGATGAAGAGAATCTTCAAAAAATATTATACACGATTTGATATAACGGCCAATGATCACGTAAATTTATTCTGTGATTTTAGGCAACGTATCAGCAAATCTCAAATCACGTATTAAAGGAAATAAATGCCGTTTAATAATAAAACAGGGGTATTAAAGGGAAATTATATAATATATTTTGCCAAGTTGGCAAAATTGGGTGTATCTCAAAAAGGGGAAAAAAATTGGATCTACCTCATTAGAAAATATGAACAAGGGGGTTTTCCCTAATAAACCCTATACTGGCGATATCAATAAATAGAACAATAATTCATCATAAATTTTAGGGTTAAATACAGTTTGCACCCCTAAAGTATACCCTCTGTAACACTTACCCCCTTAAAGTATCATTTGTAACACTTACCCCCCTCAAACACAATTTAATTTGTATTTTAAATGTTAATACCTTAAAAAAATATTTTATTGAAAGGAATAACTAAAAGAATAATTAAATTATACAACTAAAAATATCTGTTGAAAAATACAATATTTAAAAATTTAAAAAAATATTATATTGCGTTGGATACTTATTCAATAAATAACATTTAATTGTTGTTGGACCAACTAATCAAAAATACACTATCAATTAACTTTAAGAAATCAATACATAATTAATATAATTATTAAGTATTTAAATTTAGGGGCCTTAAGATATATGTCCCTAGTGAGAAAACTTATTAGAACTAAATGACAAGCTTAACAAAATCTTTGCTACACATCCTTTGTAAAATTCATTCCAAAAATGCCCTCCACTCACAAATTAAAAATATGTTTTAATTAAAATTCATATTGCACTTATCATCTTTTTAGTCTGGAATATTTTCATTTTTCTATCTTATATTTTTATTTTTATTTTTACAAAATACACGTTTTTCTTTTTTTCTTTTGTTTTTTTCTTTTCTCTTTCTTCATTTAAGCATTTTTTACACTAATATAAAACAAATCAAAAATCCTTTTTTTTTCCTATATAATATAGAAAATTACAAAAAGAAAAATATGTTTTTTTAATCCAAGTTACGTATGTTTTTATATTTTGTTTTAATTTTATCTCTTGGTGTACTATACTATAGTTTACGGTGTACTATAGTTTACTGTTGCGTACTATGGTTTACTACGGTATACTATGGTTTACTATGACATAGTATTCGAAACCCTAGCATCAAAAAAAATTATCAGCCGTCTGCAAACCCTAGAGCAAACAAACCACAGCCGCCGCCAACTACTATCCACCAACCCTAGCCGTCAACCAAAACCCTAGCACCGTAAAAAACCCTAGGTTGATGCAATCGCCTCCAACCATCGATCTAACCTTACTCCACCATCTCCAATGACCACCTCCACCATAACCATCACCAGATCTATCACCACGACCACCACCGCACCGTCGCCGAGGTCTCCAAGGACCTCGAGATCTTCAGATCTATGCATCGCCTCCTTCACTTTACTGCTCGGCGACGGATCTGGATAGATCCTCAAAATCTTCAGATCTCGGCATAGTGGCGGTGGCATCCTCGGTTTGCACCCATTGATTTGCAAGAGAGACAGAGAAAACGTAATGGGCTGACGAACAAAAATATGAGAGAAGGAGAGAGATGTGGAACGGTTGAGAAGAGGTTGAGAAGAAGAGAGAAAAGATTGAGGTGTGGTGAGTGGGAAAAAAAAGACCGTGAGAAGAGAGAATGAGAGGAATGAGAGATAAACCTAATCTTTTATTATTTATATTAAGGGTATTTTCGGGTTAAACAAAAATAAAAGGATGTGGGTCAAATTTTATTTTGAACTAAGGATTTAGTTAAGATATTTTATTTGAGGTTGTCATCTACATCAAATTAAGTTTGTGTTGAGGGGCTCCTAGCATATTACCCCTTAAATTTATTTTAGTTCATTAATTTTTTTAAATATATTTTCATTCATTATTACCCAATATATATTACTTTTTAAATTTTTTTTCAACAATTAATTTTAGCTACTTTTCAATTTTCTATGAACCGTTAATTATTAAATTGTTATGTTTATTATTTTAAATTTTAAAATATAAAATAATTGATGTTGAGGGGGGTAAGTGCTACAAATGATACTTTAAGGGGGTAAGTGTTACATGAGCTATACTTCAGGGGTGCAAAGTGTATTTAGCCCTAAATTTTAGTAATTAGTTGACTTGTAAATTGTAATCCATATGTAGGTGCTGTTGGGAAATTGAATGCATTTATTTTCATAAAAAACAATTATGTAAACTATACTATTGTATTTGAACTCAGTCGTGAACGAATTATATTACACTGTAAGGATCTAACATCAACAAGCGACTCTGTGGCCCAATGGATAAGGCGCTGGTCTACGAAACCAGAGATTCTGGGTTCGATCCCCAGCAGAGTCGTTTATTTTTTGTTTTCTACGTTGCATATTTTTAGGGTCATTTACATAAATGGTGTAGATGTCCAATTAATTTACAGGAATGGTGTGGTTTTTTACACCTTTACAAATATGGTGTAAATCGCATTTTACAGTGGCGATTTCTGACATTTTTTATGACATCTGACTTGGGTCAGCCGTCTTTGTGGGCTGATGCTGGAAAAATTGGACAAATTGTTGCATAAGGGTGCCACTTGGATAATCTAATTATGTATAATTTATTTTATTTCCCTTATTCATGATTAATTTTCCAATTTACAAATTAAAAATAATTTTGTAAACTATACTTTTTAGTAATTACATATTAAAAATAACTAAATAAATAATCAGATTATAAATATAATGTTTTAATTAAAAATAATAATTATTAAAAAATGTGGGTATAATATTTTTTTTTTCCGATTTGCAATCAGATGATTTATAATCTTTTTCGTATATATTTTTTTAATAATTTATTGGGCGAATGGCAAATAGGTTCATCACATGAGACTTAAATGCACATTGGTCCACAAAAAAAAAAACAGTCGTTCAAATAAATCCATCCCCATGTCTCTAGTCTAAAATACCATCCATAATATAATTGTTATCAATTCCATCCATTATGCTCTAACTTCCTTAATATTACACATTGACTCCGGATTTAAAGAAATATATCACATTAACCCCCAAAATAATAATTTTTTGAAAAAATATTTTTTTTTCTGAATTTTTTTTTTCTGGCCAGATTCCGGCGTTAGATTTTTTTATTTATTTATGAAAACTGTTTTTTTTTCTGAAATTTTTTTCCGGCCGGTCAACCACCGTTGACCGCCAGTCTCCGGCGTTGACTTTTTTTTTTTCTTTTTTCGAATTTTTTAATTGAAAAAAACTAAATATTAAAACAATATATTAATAATCTGATTTTTATTTGTTTACAAAATATATATTAACATAATATTTTTAATTTGTAAATTGGAAAATTAATTATGAATAAGGGAAATAAAATGAATTATACATAATTGGATTATCCAAGTGGCACCCTTAAGTAACAATTTGTCCAATTTTTACAGCATCAGCCCACAAAGACGGCTGACCCAAGTCAGATGTCATAAAAAATGTCAGAAATCGCCACTGTGAAATGCGATTTACACCATATTTGTAAAGGTGTAAAAAACCACACCATTCCTGTAAATTAATTGGACATCTACACCATTCATGTAAATGACCCCATATTTTTACCTAATAAAATTTCTTTAGTCGTTTATTTATTTTGGTTTTTTACGTTGCTTATTTTTACCTAGTAAAAACCGGCTTTTACAGTAATTGGCTATTAATTTCTGAACTTTGAAGTATGTTTTTATAGTTATTATGAAATTAAAAGAGAAGTATCAAGAGGAATTAATGCTATACGTGTTGATTTATTTAATTTGGATAAGCCTGTAACTTCTTCTCTAATAAATGATTGTCGGACACGTTTAGGTGGAAACAATTTAATCGAAATTGGCATACACACGAGATTCCGATTTCTGATCCGATTTTAATTTCCAACAATTCCAATCATTTTTCTTTTCGAAAACTATTCTTATAGTATCAACCTAATTACATATTCTATGTAATAGTTGAATTAAAGAAACGGAAATTTTCAATTTAAAATTCGTCGATTCCTATCCGAAAAATTCAAACTTTAGATCAAAGTTTTCTAATTCCAAATTAAGAAATTTCGATTCTCAATTTAATTCGTCCTTTTGTAGAAAAGTACTGCTAATTCCGATTAATCCGTCTGATTTACGCTTCTTATCACATGCCAAACATGACACTAAAAAGAAAATGAAAAACCACGTTTTTGTATCTGTCAATTGTCGTGAATCACAATAACCGAACGAGGATTTTGATGACTTTTCTGCGTTTCTATTTCCTTTTGTAACGCCAAAAACATGTCAAATATATTATATATATCTCATTACATATATTATGGCACCCACGTCGTATATATATATATATATTCATTAATACAAGAAGAACAAAATAATTAAAATCCTGATTTACAGTATTTTGTTAGAGAGAGAAAGTAGAAGAGCAATGGCAACTCTCAAAGTACCAGAATGTATTCCTTCCCCAGAAGAGGATTCTCACCACCTCAAAAAAGCTTTTCAGGGTATTTTTTTATTTATTTTTTTAATTATTTATTATTTATTTATTTGAAATTTATTTCTTGATTAATTAGATCTATATTGTGAAAATCATTCATTTTTGTGGGAATTAATATACTTATTTCCGAACATAAAATGTTAGTAAAATCTTTCGTGTATATATATAAATATATATGATCAATGATCATCGTTGTACATTCACAGTTTATTTATTTCTGAATTTTGTTTTAGTTAAAGAAAAAAAAAATTATAATATGTTGTTCTTTAAACTAAGCTTAATTTATTCTATGAAGAGCATGATATATGATTATTTAATTTGGTGACCAATTTGATTTTTGCAGGATTCGGCACGAACGAGGCATCGATAATCGAGATCCTGGCCCACAGAAACGGGGCACAACGAAAGTTGATTAGAGAAGCATATGCTGCAGTTCATGGAGAAGATCTTCTCAAGGACTTGGAGAAAGAACTCTCCGGTGATTTTCTGGTTAGTTTCCGATCGATTTTAAATTTAAGGCTTCGTTTGGATTGAAGAATTTGTCGGTGGGAAGTTCGATTCTATAATTAACAAAATTTACTAAATTCGTTTGGATTTCGAATCTATTTCATTTGGAGTTCATTCGAAATGATCTCATTTTGTCAAATCTTCCTCACGAATTCAAATCCGAGTTCTTTCGACCTTCTCAGATCATAAATTAATAATGGATTCGTGAAAATCAAATATATTTGATTGCTCTTTCGATCTTTATTGTACATTGGGCCGAAAAAGAATCCACATTTCAACAAAAGAAAAAAAAAATTAGAATCCTTGTTGTTTCGATATAGTTATACGAACATGTTGTAATATTGTTTATTGCTTATGTTCTTCTTTTAAACTCTGTTTATATTGCTAAAATGTATGTACATTGTATATATATATATGTATATATAATGTGCTATTTTTATTTAGCGAGCGGTATCTCTGTGGACGCTTGATCCAGCGGAGAGAGACGCGCAATTGGCTAACGAGGCGACAAAAATATTGAGTGCGAACAATTTGGTAATAATGGAAATTGGTTGCACTAGATCATCTTATGAACTGTTTAAAGCCCGAGAAGCTTATCATGCTCGTTTTAAGAAATCACTCGAAGAAGACGTTGCTTTTCACACTACCGGAGACTTCCGGAAGGTAACATATTTTTTAACTTTTTTTTTTTTCCCGGACAAAATTGATCTTTTTTTTTTCTTTTATTCGAAATAGTTGTTGGTTCCTCTTGTGAGTGCCTTTCGATACGAAGGAGACGAGGTGAATATGATGTTGGCAAAAGCGGAGGCTAAGATACTACATGACAAGATATCCGAAAAGGCTTATTTTGATGACGAGATTATTCGAATTTTAACTACGAGGAGCAAAGCGCAGCTCAATGCGACGCTCAACCAATACAACGATCACTTTGGAAGGCTATCTTCAAGGTATATATAACTTCTTCGTGGACCAGCTCATTAGCGACATCCCTCGGCATGGTTTTTTT